GCTCATGCATACATAAAAAGGTAAAGGGACCCCTGACCATTAGGTCCAGTCATGACCGACTCTGGGGTTGCAGCACTCATCTCGCTTTATTGGCCGAAGGAGCCGGCGTACAGCTTCCGGGTGATGTGGCCAGCATGACTAAGCCACTTCTGACGAACCAGAGCAGCGCATGGAAACGCCGTTTACCTTCCCGCCGGAGCGGTACCTATTTATCTACTTGCACTTGACTTGCTTTCGAACTGCTAGGTTGGCAGGAGCAGGGACCAAGCAACGGGAGCTCACCCGGTCGTGGGGATTAGAACTGCCGACCTTCTGATCGGCAAGTCCTAGGCTCTGCGGTTTAACCCACAGCGCCACCCGCGTCCCTATGCAGACATACTTCAGTACAATTTTTAAAAGACAGTGGTACCTCGGGTTACAAACTTAATTCGTTCTGGAAGTCCGTTCTTAACCCGAAGCATTCTTTACTCAAGACACCCATTCCCTACATAGGCCTCCCGCGGCCCCGGAAGCGGATTGCATTCATATCCCGGGGCAAAGTTCGCAACCTGGAGCAGCTACTTCTGGGTTGCAGAGTTCATAACCCGAAGCGTTTGTAAGTAGGACGGTGCGTAACCCAAGGTACCACTGTAAGGGTTTTTTGAAACAAAATACAGTAAAGCTAAGGGTTGGGGGATGCAAAGACCATGGGAGGGAGCATGTGGTCCTCTTGATTTTTATTTTTTTACTCCCGTTCCCATCAGTCCCAGCCTGCAGAGTCAATGATCAAGGATGATGGGAGATGTAGTCCATCCGCATCTGGAGGGCTACATGTCCCCCACTCCTGACACAGGTATATGTGCTTTAACCATAAATACACAAAACATCACCATGGGGATGTAACACTGACTATAAATAGTCTTTTTTAAAAACCAGCTTTGTAAGGCAGTATTTGTTTATTTTCTTGGAGATTGCAGCCCACTCTTGCCACTGGGCCGGGCCAGGGCGGCACTTGGGAGGCTGCTCTGACAAAACCCTGTAGCATTTGCTAGAGAAGATCTGCTGCGCATTTATCAAATGCATGACAGGAAGATGCTCCACAAGCAAAGTCCCCCTGCAGCATGCTGGAAAGAACTGGCCACCCCACGTCTTGCTTTGCGTCTGTATTTGTGGGCACGCCTCCTAGGGGAAGTGCTCAGACAACTACAGTGAGAAACGCAGAAAAACCACAGAAAACAAGACTCCTGGTTGACATGGACGACTCATCCTGCTCAGGAGCACCAGGAAAGTGACTCACTACAATGGAGAGGTGGTCCAGCACGGCCCTAACCCTTTAAAAACAACAACCACACAGACAAATGAAACCACCAAACATAAGTCAGTGGGTGACACTTATTCCTTCCCCTCATCTCCACTGCTGGAGAAAGAGCTGCACCCCTTGAATTTTTCCCAGTTACGCAACTGCTACAAGGCGCAGAGAAAGATGGCAGCCCTTAAAACCCTTTGGCTGGGGAAGGAGCGGGTGCAAGTGAGATTCGGCTTCCTGGAAAGGGGTTAAGTCGCACAATGAGCAAGGGAGCATTTTGGGGGGCTGGGGTTAGGGGGGTAGGGGTGGGAGGAAGCCCGGACTCCTGGGTTCTATCCCCTGCCCTATGGGATAGCTGGGTTGCTAAGGAACGCGAAGAAAGGGGTACATATGATGGGGGGGAGCAGGAGGCGACGAAGGCAGAGGCCGCCTCCCCAAATGCAAAGCCCGACCCACTTGAGGACTCTCTCTCTCTCACCCGAAAGATAGTTGGTCCATTTCAGCAGCGCTCCCTCCATCACCAGCCCGGCTCGCTTACTGCCGCCGGTGCGCCGAGCAGAGCCAATTGCGGCTCCGGGCCGGTGGGGCCCGACCAATCGCGGGGCAAGTTGAGGGCGGGGACCAAGAACGGGGGGAAAGGGGACTTGCGGGACGCGGGAGGGAAGCTAGGTAGGAACCAATCAGGCTGGGAAACGGATCGGGGGAACAAAAGCTGGACGGACGGGGAAAAAAAAGGAACGCTCGGAGCCGCCCGCCTTCATGCGCGCAGTGGCTTATGGGCAATGTAGTCCCACTGGTCGCAGAGCCGTTGGACTCCGCGAGCGCGTTTACTAAATGGGCAGCCCTGGACACTGAGTCCCCTAAGTTCATGATCCGTCAAAGAAGAATGGATGGAGGCAGGAGTAATAATAATAATTAAAAAAATAATTTATTATTTATACCCCAGCCACTCTGGGCGGCTTCCAAAAAAAATTAAAATACTGTAATACATCAAACATTAAAAGCTTCCCTAAACAGGGCTGCCTTCAGATGTCTTCTAAAAGTCTGTAGTTGTTTATCTCTTTGACATCTGGTGGGAGGGCTTTCCACAGGGCGGGTGCCACTACCAAGAAGGCCCTCTGCCTGGTTCCCTGTAACTTGGCTTCTTGCAGTGAGGGAACCGCCAGAAGGCCCTTGGAGCTGGACCTCAGTGTCCAGGCAGAATGATGGAGGAGAAGGAAAGGAGGAGGAAAGCAAGGAAGATATTTATTGTTGAAACAGAGTTTCCCCCGTCCTTCCTTTGCAAAGAGGTTAGGACCCAGAACAAGGTTGTGCAAGTACAGTGGTACCTCGGGTTACATACACTTCAGGTTACATACGCTTCAGGTTACACACTCCGCTAACCCAAAAATAGTGCTTCAGGTTAAGAACTTTGCTTCAGGATGAGAACAGAAATCGTGCTCCAGCAGCACAGCAGCAGCAGGAGGCCCCATTAGCTAAAGTGGTGCTTCAGGTTAAGAACAGTTTCAGGTTAAGAACGGACCTCCGGAATGAATTAAGTACTTAACCCGAGGTACCACTGTACTTGGTAATAATTCCATTAAATCCATTGAATTTACTTTAAAGAGGTTAAGATTCCCGCCCCCCCTCCAACGAACCCGTTACCTTGGATAGCTCAGTCGGCAGAGCGTGAGGCTCTTAATCCCAGGGTTGTGGGTTTGAGCCCCACATTGGGAAAGAGATTCTTGCGTTGCAGGGGTTTGGAGTAGATGATCCATGTGGTCTCTTCCAATTCTACAATTCTATTATTCCTTGCTTCATCCATCATTATTGTGTTTAAGCCGAGCGTCGCTTTGGCAGGGTGTGGGTACTTGTATCAGGTGCCTTAACAGTATGGTCGGGGACAGAGGGTGGCGCTTGGGGGGGAATTGTCATCGCACCACTCCTTGGTATGTGGAGTACCTCAGGGTGCGATACTCTCCCCGATGCTTTTCAACATCCCCCCCCAAGCGCCACCCTCTGTCCCCGACCATACTGTTAAGGCACCTCATTTAGAATGAATGATTTTAGAGTGTTGTTTATGCTGTACTTTTGTACTGTTTTATTGTTGTTAGCCGCCCTGAGCCCGGCTAAGGCTGGGGAGGGCGGGATATAAATAAAATTTATTATTATTATTATTATTATTATTATTATTATTATTATGCAACGTTCATGGGCGTAGACCTCAGAAATGATTGATAAGCATTAAAAAAACCCACCTCAATAAACTGTAGTTTTACGCCGCCCCCCCAAGCAGAATCCTGCCTCCGTAATGTCATATTTTGGGGGGGGGATTTTTACCCGTGATCTCCCAATGAAGCTCAACAACTTTTTAAGTGATCTCCCCCAAAATAGCTCAACAACCTTTTGCCCCACCCCCTAAACAAAAACCCTGTCTACGCCCACGGCAACCAGGGCCGGATTTAGGTTTGATGAGGCCCTAAGCTACTGAAGGTAATGGGGCCCTTTATATGTCCAGCTGTCCTTTGTCAACAAGAAATTGTTGCTTTTTTTGTGTTGAATATATGCTATAATTTATGGACCTAACAGGTATCTAAAGCCATTTGCACATAACAAAATATGTATTTTATCAAAGCAATTGTTGAACTGAAATACAATTAAGAAGTATATTAATAGTGAAATACAATTAAGAATAAGTATATTTATTATAAAATAATAATAAATAATAAAATAATTATTAAGCTCCAACTTAAAATGATTTTTTATTCATAACAAACTTAATAATGCAAAAACATTGGCATTTGGCAATAACAAAAGTTCCTTTAGAAACACAATTTACAAAGACTCACAATCTAGTCTCTGGAAACTTGCTATAACATGAAATAATAATAGGTGAAAATATATGATGCAAACTACTAATAATTATAAACAGCAGAATGTAGGCACTCTATATACAGAAATGTGCAAACCAGTGATATTTTAGGGAGCAGCAAAGCAGGCAGGGTCCATTACTTACATCACAGGAGCCTACACAACACAAAACACTGTTGCTGTATGTAGGTTTTATCTTGTTTTTTATCTTATATTTTAGAAATGTACATCCAGGTTTTTTTTCTTTACTTTTTTTGAGGGGGGCAAGAGAGTGGGGCCCTAAGCTATAGCTTGTTTAGCTTATACGTAAATCCGGCACTGATAGCAACGTTTACCTGTACTGACGGCAAGCGAAAGAAATAATACCTATTTGCCTGTCGCTGTATCTGTGACCCTCGGAGACTACTTCTCCCAGCATGCAGTGCGGGACAAGGCCCGGCCTCTGCTCGCTGTGCGGCCGAACGGCCTTCTGGGAGTCGTAGTCCCCGTACCGAAGCCGCCTGGCGGCCTGGGCCCGGCGCCGGACTCCAACTTCCAGGATGCGCCTCTCAGCGTTTCGGAGGCGGCGGCGGCGGGGGGAGGCGCCAGGGCCGCCGCTTCCTCTCTCCCGGCCATTGTGAACCGGGCTGGCGGGCGGCGGGCGTTGCGGCGGCGGCGGCGGCGGCGGGGCAGGAGGAGGGAATGAGCGAGGAGGAGGCGGAGGAGCCTTGCGGGAGCGCGAGGAGCTGCGGCGGCTTCCCCAGGTGAAGGAATCCGCCCGCGCCGTTGCTAGGAGACGGGCGGGGAGGGGCGGGGCGAGGGAGGGAGGGAGGCAGGAGGAGAAGAAGCCCCGCCCCCTAGAGCGCCGTTGCTAGGATACCCCTCCTGGAAGAAGCAGCTCTCGGGCCTACGCTGCCATGATAACGGGAAGGCCCAAGCAGGGCATCACCCATGGCCTGGGCAATTATGGGAGGAGGGTCTCGGACAGAGGATGGGTCCCGACTAAGAGGGATGGGGCTGGGGGCGACAGCGACCCCTCCTGCCTCTCCCTAGGGGTGCGCAGTCTAGAGGACAACTCCGTCTTCAGAACAATCCTGCACCTGTCTATCCAGATGCCTGTCGTGGCTGAGTCCCAAGAGGACAGGTATAGGAGCGCAGCCTTGTGGTCTGCCTTTCCTATGACCCAGATAGAGTGGCTCCATTGGAAGAGCGCAAGACTCGCAATCCCAGGGTTGTGGGTTGGGAGTCCCACGCTGGGCAAAAGATTCCCGCAGTGCGAGGATGTTGGAGTACAGTGGTACCTCAGGTTACATACGCTTCAGGTTACATACACTTCAGGTTACAGACTCCGCTAACCCAGAAATAGTGCTTCAGCTTAAGAACTTTGCTTCAGGATGAGAACAGAAATCGTGTGGCGGCAGCGGGAGGCCCCATTAGCTAAAGTGATGCTTCAGGTTAAATACAGTTTCAGGTTAAGTACGGACCTCCAGAACGAATTAAGTACTTAACCTGAGGTACCACTGTATAGGGGACCCTCACGGTCCCTCCCCACTCCACAATTCTGCGGAAACGATTTCCTGAGACCGCACCAGCTTTCTGCATGTTTATAGGGACCTTGGTGCCGCTGAGGGGCTTACTCCCAAGTAGGCGTACATAGAAGTGCCTCAGCAGAGATAAGCATTAATGACTTCGTTAAGACTTACCATATTGTAAGGGGGCACAGTGGAGCAGGAACCGGCAAGCCACTCCAGTATCCCTGCCAAGAAAACTCCATGGACAAAGACAACAGACAGGAGTGCCTGGCGTGCTCTGGTCCATGGGGTCACGAGGAGTCAGACACGACTAAACAACAACAAAAGGGGGCACGGAGCTGCAAGCCAGCAGAAGTTTATTTTGAGGGAAGCTTGTATTATTTATTAAATTTGTATACTGTCTCAGGGTGGTTCACAGCATAAAATGACTAGATAGAAACACAAGATGCATAACAAAAATAAAAATAGGAACAACCCAATAATCCCCCCATTCACCATTTAAATTGGCATTGGATGTCAGTCAGCCAAAGGCCTGGTTACCAGAGGAATATTTTTGCCTGGTGCCTAAAGGTGTGTAAAGTGGCAGGCAAGCCTCCCTGGGGAGAGCATTCCACAAATGGGGAGCTACTGAAGAAAAGGCCTGTTCTTGTGTTGCCACCCTCCAGTCCTCTTGTGGAGGAGGCACATGAAGAAGGGCCTCAGAGGATGATCTCAGGGTCCAGGTAGGTTCATATGGAAAGAGGTGGTCTTTGAGGTATTGCTGAAAAACACTCCCCAAGCAACACGCTTGGAACAACCATCCAAGTAGGACTGGAACCATTTGCAAAGTGGTGTCACCCACCCCTAACTTGGGACAGCTGCTTCAGAAGGATAGCATGGTCAATGGTATCAAAAGCCACTTGAGAGGTCAAGGAGAATTAACAGGGGCACATTTTCCCTGTCTCTCCTGAGAGAGGTCATCATACAAAGCTGTTTCTGTGCCAAAATTGAGCCTAGGAAACTGAGGAAATATCCCCTGGATCTGGTCCACGACCACCTTGCTCAGGAAAGGGAGATTAGGGAGATTGTATGATCAAACATTTGTTCTTCAAGTGTTCTGGAATCAAGGCTTACAAGGATTTTGGTTTTCTCAGTGGCTGTTTAGCCATCATAGCAAAACTGAGCTTGCTTGTACCAGGAAACTTACTAACACGAAACAATGGCTGCTGCCTTTATGCTGGAGAGGAGAAGCTGTGGTCCTGCAGATGTTGTTAGATGCCATCCATAGGCGCCGACTCCATGGGGCTTGAGGGGGCCCGAGCCCCCTCAAAAATTCGTTTGGGGGGCTCCGCCCCCCAATAATCTCCGGCGCCCTCCAGCAGAGCGCCATCGCCGCCCCTCCCCCAGCCCAAAATGCACAGGGAGGGGCGGGCTGCATGCCTCCTGCCCTCCCTCCCGAGCAAAAGCTCCACCCAATTTCCTTTGGAGCTGATTAATAGGCGCAGCACGCTCTCCCCTATTCGCTCACGAGGAGGCGGCGCCACTTTATTTGCATATTCATGAGCTTATTTATTATTCATGAGCTTTCCCGGGCCCCCCAATATTTTTTATAAGTCCGCGTCCCTGATGCCATCTCTTATGAGACCCACCGGCAAGACCAGTTGGCCGGGTTGATGCGAGTTGTAGCCCCAGCAACAGGTACCCTGTCCCTACCCAATTCTATTTTTGTGAGCATCAGGCTGGCTGCTCTTGCTTTTTGTCTGATCCAGCAAGGTAACTTTTCCATACTTCCTAAATTAGAAACCCCACGTCACCGATAAGAATGCATTGAAAGACCGTACTTATCCTGGTTAAAAGACAACAAGAGCTAAGTAATCCTCATTAAGAAATCTTTGGGGTGTAACCTTCATTTCTTTCCTGCTGTCTTATCCCTCCCGTCCTCACTAGGACCTCTGGTCCATGAAGCTGGAAGGGATGGGATGACCTCATTGTACATTTGCTGTTGAAGGGACTTTGGCAGTAGTGAAATCTCTGTGGGAGTTATAGAGGCTCCCACCAATGATAGAAGGTGTGTGTGGGGGGGAAGAGCCAAGCACATCCTTTGTTGCAGACAATGGAATCATGGAAGACAGAGAAACACTACTAGGTAAAAGGAGCCCCGGTGAAAGAGTAAGGTGGCTTCCAACCTTGTCTCCTTTTGACTCTCAGTATAGAGCAAATGCTGGCGTCCAACCCTGGCAAGACCCCTATCAGCCTGCTGCAGGAGTATGGGACACGCATAGGCAAAACCCCTGTGTACGATCTACTGAAAGCCGAGGGACAAGCACATCAGCCCAACTTCACCTTTCGTGTCACTGTTGGAGACATCAGCTGCACCGGTTAGTTGTGGTAAAGAACGGGAGTGTGGATAAACCAGTAGAATTTGGGCAGGGGAGGAAGAGGAGAGGAGAAGAACTCTCATATTTGGGGGTAGGATAAAGAAGATTGCATGTCTTCTACAGTCCTTCATATTTGTCTCAGCAGCAGAAGGGGGATGGAGTTTCTCCAGTTGTGCTTTTGAACGGGGCCTTCTGCCTGCTTCCAGTTAACTTTGGGTTTGCACCTACTTTGAGGGGCTCCCTATAATACAAGCTCCTCTTTAGCACACTGGTCCCCTTACCTTTTATCCAGGAGTGGAGAATCTTTTTGGTTCCATGGGCCAGATCCTACACCCACTTGTCAAGAACGCAACATCATTATGATGTCACATAACTGATAGATGGGTTGTCATGCTCACCTGCCAGAATCCATTGCATGGGGTTCTGAGCTGGCTGTTGAGCTGAACATAACATCCCTCCCCACTAATAAATTGGAACCTTTTAGGCCACAGATAGGGAATCTGTGGCCCTTCAGATGTTGTTGGACGCAAACTCCTCTTAACAGCCCCAGCCAGCATGATTTAAGTTTGATTTGACATGTGTATTAGAGGGGAAGGGGAGCTGAAAAAAAAATTGCATCTGGCAACCAATGTGCCCCTTTGGTTTCAGATAATACATGGGTAGACGAGTCTAAAAAGCCCGGGACACAAATTTCCACAGCCCTCTAGTGGCTATGGTGGCTCATTTACCAGAAGTATTGTACTGAGCATTATCTTTGGAAGTGTATACTCAATTCTGACCAAACTAAGCCTCCTAGAGCAAAATATACACCAGGCCTTATAGACTCGTCTACCCATGTACTATCTGAAACCAAAGGGGCACATTGGTTGCCAGATGTGGAATATATTGGCATTATCTTCAGCTCTCCTTCCCCGCTATGTTTTGCTTTTCCAACTACAGTGTTGAGCTCGAAGCAGCCCACCATAATAACAATAGCTGTAAAAATTAACCAGCGCTAACCATAAATATAATCGTATCAAGAGCACAGTAGCATATAAACAAAATCAATTCATCAGTCAATCAACACAATTCAGTGTAAACACAGAGTGATTCAAAATATCTGCCCTGTGCCAGTTGACTTACTCTCTCTGCAAAGGGGCTTCTTAACCCACCAGGGCAGCAGCAGCAGCACATTCCAAGGTAGTTTTTCTGGGTTGTAGTCTGGCAACAACTGGAGGCTACCAAGTTGGAGAAGGGTGTCCTGACTCACGACACCTAACTTGATTCTAGATTTGGGGAGTAGAATGCAGGAGATCCTAGTTTCTAGACTTCTTTTTGTAACCTGTTTGGTACCCTCTTCCTCTCAGAACTTGGGACCTTGAGCTGCTTGTTTGTTCTGTCACACTCACCAGATGTCCTCACAGGGTTGGGTTTCTCACTGCTGGGCTCTTGGCAGCTTTTCTTGGAGAGCTCATTGGCCTACTGTCAGCTGACCATCAAGAGAACAGGATGCTGGACTAGTTGCTCCATTCACTTGACCCAGCAGTCTCTTCTTAGAAAGTCACGCAGAGCTGTAACAAGATATAATCAAGAGGCAGATTAGGGCAAGGGTGGAGCCACAGGCTTTGAAGGGAACCTCCACCTAGGCTTGGCTGACACTGCTTCTCAGGTGACAGTTGAGTTGCCAAGGCCTGATTGTGATGTCATACATAGCTGCAATGACAGATTCTGTATGTGGTTTGAACAGCCTTGCTAAAGCACAGCATTTCCCCCTGATGATACTGCTACTCTATGCCTACATACATGACACCTGACCCAACAAGCAATAATACCACAATTTCTACCCCTTTATTCAGTGATTTTTCACAACTACTTTCACTACTATTTTACTTTGTCTTTTTTCTTTCGCCATGATTTTAATGTGAATTAGCCTCATGTTGCTATATTACTATTATCAGCCGGAGTGGCTTGGATCCTGCAAAAGGCACTCAGCCCCTTCTTCCCTCTAGCCCATCATTAACATTTAACTTCAGCAGGGATGGGAGTGAATTTGTAGGAATTAAATTTTACTCTCAGTGACTGGACGGTCATAGTTCGTTTTATTTTTTTAGACACTACTTCTAAATGTGCATGTTTGCTTAACTTGGAAGCACATTCCCTCATATCTTAACTGTCTGTGGAGGCATGGAAGTGCATGGGGATGTAGGAGAAAGAGTGAGCTTTCAAGCACCACCCTCTTCCCACACTGCTCTTTATTGCAGTTCACAGTGGCATATAGTATGGAATGCTGTTGCAAATGAGATGCAGTGCTGTGCTCTGTCCATGTGCTGCATTTGTGAAAAATACTAGCACAGTGACACTTTGCAAACAAAAGGAGCTTCAGTGCGGATTGCACCTGGATTTGGTCGGCCTGGAAGTCTCATATATGCTACCTTCCATTATGGAAGGAAGGCCGGGATATAAATAAGTTTCTGTGTTTGCCCTTCCGAGTTGCCCTTGCATCCTTGTGTACCGACTCGCTTTCTCTCCCTTCTCCTGCCCTTAGGCCAAGGCCCTAGCAAAAAAGCAGCCAAGCACAAGGCAGCAGAGGTGGCACTCCGGCTTCTCAAGAGAGGTAACATGTTGGAGCCAGCAGCAGCGGAAGAAGCCAGGTGAGGGCTATGCACAGTCTGTACAGAAGGCCGGAATCCCCCCTTCTCCCATGCACTTATTAGAAAATGAAATCCCCAGGGAATCTTCGGTCTACAACATCCTCTCTAGTTGCTTACTGTCTATGAAAGGTAATTTGCAGACAGTTAGGACAAAAAGGTTGTTGATAAGTAAGCCAGTAAAGCCAGTAAGTGCTGACATTGTGTCACATGCAAACCAGGCCAATGAAGGACAGAAACTTTAACAAAAGAAGTTGAAATCTGCATTCCATGATGCAAATTGAGCAGCACAGTCACAGGTGCTCAGATTGTGCACAGACATGGGAACAGGAGAGTTCAGCATCGAGCATTGTTGCACAGGCCTCTGTGGTTGAGGGAAGTTTGGGTGGAGGGAGCCTTGCTAGAGAACAGGAAGGGCCTGCACCCAAGTTCTGGGGGATGACACGGGAGCAGTCTCTCTTTTCGGGAAGTTTCTTCCACTGCATGCGCTCCGGCTACTGAGCGTGCTTTAATTTTGTCACCTTGTATTCCGAAGCTCTCCTTTTTCTCTAGAGCCCTTGGCTCAGACCACCGCTCCAGTCAACGCGCCTGTATCCACCTTGCCGGTTTCGTCTCCCAGGTAATAGGATGGAAGCGAAAGACAAAAGCACAAGGAGTGGGCTGCCCAGAGTCCTCTGGCTGCTTCTCATGCACCCAAATTTCCCCCTAGGCCATCAGTGCATACTGGAACAAGCTGGTGCCTGTGGCAGGTCCTTCCCTTGTGTCTGACCTTGCTCCTCCCCCCAGTGGTTTTCCCATGGGCTGCAGAGCATCAGCTTGGGTGTGGGATGGGTACACATTCCAGCAGGTATTCTCCACTCGAAGTACAGGAGGGGAAGTAAGAGATCTTGCTTGCCCCTGGAGACACAGGCTATGGGTGGCTGTGTGGTGGTTAGTAGGAAGACCCCCTTTCAGTCTACCATCAATTCCCCTCTTAACGCTGATTGGAGGAGGGTCCATGCCTTGCCCTACAGTGGAGCGCCAACTAGGCCTGGGCGATGTATCGATACATTGTCCAGGACTGGTTTGAGGGCCAGAGTACAGTCACACCCTACAGTATATCTTGGGTGGGGCTTACCTGTGCCTTACCTTCTCAGGCTGCTGCCTCCTTCCTCCCTGTGCCGGGCGTTGGTGGTGGAGGGAGCTGTGGTGGTTTCACCCCGGCACCTCGCGGGGCTGATCTTCCTTCCTTTTCAACACCGCAATGTATCGCTATACCATGAGGTTTAGGTGGTGATACGTCCCGATGTCGAAAAGCCGACATCACCTAGCTCTCGCGCCAGTTGTAGGCGAGGCTCTCTTTGACGAGGCCCCTTCTCAGCTGTCTCCCCAGAAGGGCTCCTATGTTCCCCTACCTCTGCCTACTTTGTAGCGTGGGTGGGGTGTTTGGATTTGGGTCAGCAGAACCACCAGGGAGAACCCTTCACCTTGTGTCCTCTTTTTACCTAGAAGTTCTGCAATGGACATGAAGTCCCCAGTATCACCACAGCAGTCGGAGTGCAACCCAGTTGGCGCGCTGCAGGTAGGTCGCTCTATCAGCTGTGACTTCCTTCAGCCCCAAGCGCTTACAGGAGGAGGGGTATTGGTGAGTGAGCTTAGTCAGAAGTTGGTAGATCCACACTTTGCCCTACAGGAGAAAGAGTACTTCCCAGCAGCACCTTGTCCTACCGATTGCCTGTTTCATTCTGGAGATATCTGAACCTGAGCCTTTCAACATGCAAAGTATCTTTTTACTTTTAATGTGCTTTAAACTTTTTATGATTTTAATATATGGTTTTCAGTGCTCTCCCCCCCTCCCCGAAAAAAGTGCCAGTACTCACCATGAAGTTGTTACAGGAAGTGCCACACTTTTAACATTTTTTAAAGAGGTGCTGGTATTGTGTGCCCTTGAGGACCCCCAGCAAAAAAGCACTGATGGCTTTATGTTTTTATATGGTTGTAAACAGCTGTGATAGAAGGGACGCGGGTGGTGATGTGGGTTAAACTACAGAGCCTAGGGCTTGCCTATCAGAAGGTCAGCAGTTCGAATCCCTGCGACGGGGTGAGCTCCCGTTGCTCGGCCCCTGCTCCTGCCAACCTAGCAGTTCGAAAGCACGTCAAAGTGCAAGTAGATAAATAGGTACTGCTCCGGCGGGTAGGTAAACGGCATTTCCGTTTGCTGCTATTGTTCGCCAGAAGCGGCTTAGTCATGCTGGCCACATGACCCAGAAGCTGTACGCCGGCTCCCTTGGCCAGTAAAGCAAAATGAGTGCCGCAACCCCAAAGTCATCTGCGACTGGACCTAATGGTCAGGGGTCCCTTTACCTTTTTAAGGCTACCTTAAAGTCCTGGTTTTGGAATGCAAGCTGGTATCCCAAAGGGAAAATTTGTTGTCACCATGCAGCACTTTTTCAAAAGTCTCTTTGGTATGGGAGCTTTTGAAGCCATATTAAGTAAGCTTGGAAGTGCGCACAAGGCTTTTTTGCTTGTGGAATTTAGGATAGGAACAACATGTATTTGCTGTAGCTCTGGAACGAAATTGGGCACACCCACCTCCAAGTGGATTCCAAACAGAGGTGACAAACAGGATTTTGAGCAGAAGCCTTGACGCTGTAAGCAGAATGCTGCTCCCATTTGCTGCATCATCCAGAACTACTAATAGTCTGTAGGTTTGTATCCATCCACCTTTTGGCAAACCACTCTCGGATCCCAATAGCAAGGCTTCAGTACCCTGTCTTGATTTTCCTCCCAGTTACAATTTACAGCCCAAATCTACATATGTGCTTTCTCCAGAAATAAGTACTGCCTAATTTAATTGGGCTTATGCCCAAACTGCTGCTTTAGATGCCTCCGCTGCAATGGTAGTGTCCTGAGCTGCCAATCCCTCTAGGAGTCCAGGCACAGAAAGGAAGAGGCGAGTGCTTTTCTAAAGCTGTCTCTCTCTCTCCAGGAGCTGGTGGTGCAGAAGGGCTGGCGGCTCCCCGAATACACTGTTACTCAGGAGTCAGGGCCAGCGCACCGCAAGGAATTCACCATGACCTGCCGGGTTGAAAGGTTCATTGAAATAGGTACGGCATCAGCGGACTCGAGTCCCCATCTGCTCATGCTTTTAAACTGTTTGTGATTTGCAGTGCCCTCAGGCAGTGCCCTGAGCCTTTCCCATAAAGGCTCCTTACAACTTCGTAGGCAAGGGCCAATGCATCTGACAAGAGGAATGCAGGAAATCAGAGGGAAAGCATCAAGCTGCAGCCAGAGAGGACTTGGGAGACTATGATTTGGGCTGTAAGGACCAGGAGTGCACAACTGCAGTCCCATAGGCCAAGTGTGCCAGCTCTGCAGGCACTCAAGTTAGGCTCCCCGGTTGGCTGCAAAGCTTCTGCGCCAAGGAAAGACAGAACCCCACACCATTTGCAAGAGGACAAGCTGTGTCAGTTATGTAAAAACAAGCTCTTTAACAGCTGCTGTTGTGCTTTCTGCCTCAGGCAGGGTGGATGGGCTGCAAGACAGGATCAATGCACAGGAGCTAAAAAAACAGCAGTCAGGCTTGATGGGGGAAGCCTGAGGGAATCGGGAAGAGGTGTAGGTTATTGCAGTCTCCTTGCACCCCAGGCTGTCCTCTACCCTTCTCTGCCCTCTCCTCTTTCAACATATCGCAGCCCCCTTCCAGATCACCGTTTTGCCATTTCTTCTCTCTCTAGGCAGCGGCACCTCCAAAAAACTGGCCAAGCGCAACGCCGCAGCCAAGATGCTGGTGCGGATTCATAACGTGCCTCTGGACCCGCGAGAGGGCAGTGAGGCCGAAATGGAGGAAGACCAGTTCTCTATTGTGAGTCTGAGCCGTGGGGGGAGAAGTCAGAGTCGGGCAGCCGTAGATGAGCTTATTATGCAGCTTGCTGATGGGGCGTGACAGGCTTTGCAGAAACTGGGAACTTGCTCCAAAGAGGGGAGCAGCCTTAAGCAAGAAGTAGCGATGGCCACTAACTTGGATGGCTTTGTAAGAAAATTAGATAAATTCATGGAGGATAAGGCTCCATCAGTGGCTGCTCGATGTGATGGTCTCCACCAAATCCCTTGGAAGTCCCACCTTGGGAACCCCCAAAACATCTTGAGGGCCACAGTTTCCCCATCCCTGGGTTAGGATGAAGCTGTGGCCATGAGAGTTGCTTGAGGAAACTTGCAGAGGTTGTGGCCTCTCGCTTCTTGTTCAGCACCACCTGGGAAGGCAGGGAGGGAGCTGTGCCTTGCTGAGAATGATGGAAGGTGTGCAGCCAGAAGAGACATCCAACCTGTGTTTGATCTTTCTCTCTTCCACTCTTCAGATTGCAGGAACCAAGGTGGATGGAGTAAAGGGGCGGGGGTCTGGCTGCACCTGGGACTCTCTGCGCAACTCGGTTGGGGAGAAGATCCTGCACCTCAAAAGCCATCCCCTGGGAGTGCTGAATGCTGGGTTCTGCAGCCTCTTGCAGGAGCTGTCTGAAGAACAGAGCTTTGATATTAGCTACCTTGACATCGGTAAATAATGAGGCACAGGGGAGGGGGAGGAATTGCTTTCCTTGAGAGAACGGCCAGACCCTAACTTTTCCGAAAGGCCCCCTGCGTATGTGTGCATCCTTATTGATTTGAATGTGCGAAAATTTATATTTTCTGCTTGCAAGTTGAGCTGTCAAGTGACCCCAAAATAACACCCAGAAGTACCCCAACAAGTAGAAAGCGACCCACATGACCACTCACGAAACGCTCAAGAAAATAACCTGGGAGGAGCTTGGATTCTATCTCAGTAATCCACTGCAGGGCAAGCAAAGGCTTTGGTCAGGGCGCAAGCTAGACTTGGGGACAGAACTTTGGCATTCATCAGTTTACCAGGTGTGGTGAAGCCCGCAGCCTATGGACCACATAAGCCCACATTGCAAGGTATTTTGTGGCTTCCAGGGACTCTCCACCCCCATTTCTTATTTTCTAAAATAACTAAAAATAAGATGTTATTGTGCCTCTGCCCTTTTGTCTTCCTCATGGTTATGTGCTGAGAACCCTGCCAAGTCCCTCTCCCCACATGAAAGGGAACTGACAGATGACTTACATTAATATCTGCTGTAGCATCATTACTTGCCCAGCACTGGGTCATGGGGGCCTGACTCCAGCCATATAAGGCCAGTTGCCCTGTGGGAATGAAAAGGGAAGTGAGCTGCGACATCCCAATTTATGCCAGCCTGTGAATCAACAGTTCCTTATGCCTCCATACATCCGCTATCCCCAGACTTGAGCATTAGGAAATGTGCACATTTTGCTTTCCTCTTGCTCTGCTGTGCTTTAATCCGCAGATGCCGAATTTGAATTAAATTGAATTCTCCCATTTGAAGAACCAACCTGTTTTAATCTTCATAGAATTGCAGAGTTGGAAGGGACCCTAAGGGTCATCTAGTCCAGCCCCCTGCAGTGCAGGAAACACGACTAAAGCATCCCTGACAGTTGGCCATCCAAGCTCTGCTTAAAAACCTCCAAGGAAGGAGAGTCCACAACCTCCTGAGGGAGACCGTTCCACCTTCAAATAGCTCTTACTGTCAGAATTTTTTTCCTGATGTTTAGTTGGAATCTCCTTTCTTGTACCTTGAATCCATTGGTTTGAGTCCTACCTCAAGAGCAGGAGAAAACAAGCTTGCTCCATCTTCCATGTGGCAGCCTTTAAGATGTTTGAAGATGGCAGTCAGATTTCCTCTCAGTCTTTCAGGCTAAACATATCCAGCTCCTTCAACTGTTCCTCATATGGCTTGGTTTCCAGGCCCTTGGCCATCTTGGCTGCCCTCCTCTGCTCACGTTCCAGCTTGTCAGTATTCTTCTTAAATCGTGGAACCCAGAATTGGACATAGTATTCCAGCTGTGTTCTGACCAAGGCAGAATACATTAGGACTGACGTCCCTTGATCTGGACGCTATATTTCTGTAGATGTAGCCAGGAATAGCATTAGCTTTTTTTGCTGCTGCATCACACTGTTGACTCATGTTAAGCTTGTGGTCCACCAAGACCCCTAGATCCTTTTCACATGTAGAAAGTTAGTAAAGGTAAAGGGACCCCTGACCATTAGGTCCAGTCGTGACCGACTCTGGGGTTGCGGCGCTCAACTCGCTTTATTGGCTGAGGGAGCCGGCGTACAGCTTCCGGGTCATGTGGCCAGCATGACTAAGCCGCTTCTGGCAAAACCAGAGCAGCGCACGGAAACGCCATTTACCTTCCCGCCAGAGCGGTACCTATTTATCTACTTGCACTTGGACATGCTTTTGAACTGTTAGGTTGGCAAGAGCAGGGACCAAGCAACAGGAGCTCACCCTGTTGCGGGGATTTGAACCGCCGACCTTCTGATCGGCAAGTCCTAGGCTCTGTGGTTTAACCCACAGTGCCACCTGCGTCCCTTAAAGTTAGTATCCACCTTGAACTTTCCAGACAGAGAAGGCTGTACGCAGAGATGTTGTTTTGCTGGCCTGGATGATGCGGTACATTTTCTCTTCCTACAGATGAGATGAGTTTAAGCGGCCTGTACCAGTGCCTGGTGGAGCTCTCAACACAGCCAACCACAGTGTGCCACGGCTCAGCCATGTCCCGCCATGCCGCACGTGCAGATGCTGCCCGCAATGCCCTTCAGTACCTGAAGATCATGGCAGGGGGCAAGTGAGGCCACACGGAAGACTCTGGGCACCTGCGATTCCTCAAAACAGCTTGTCTCCATCTTCCAGCCTGCTAAAGGATGTACCCTTATTTTTGCCCATCTTTTATGGGCAGGGGCACCGACCTCCCTGATGTTCTGTGGAGGGTGGAGAGGGGGCTGTGCTTCAAAACTGAATTCAAGACTCGGAGAGGGGTTTGCTGTACCTGCAGCAGAGACTAGGCTCTCAGAGACTTGTAGCTCTGAGCGCTAAGTGCTGGGGGGGGGGGCTGCTGGGAGGTCAGGGTAGTCCCACCTCTGTGGGTCACCTGATGCCAGTCACCTTGTTTTTCCCCTCGTTGTTGAGGGACAAACACTGACCATTTCTGCCATAACTGGGAGTTGCAATAAACCAGATTTTTTTTTTATAAGAAAGTGTCTTCTTTTACCTACTGAGCCTGCCCTGAGATGAGGGGGCCTGCACCCCTCCAGATCTTGCAACTCCCATGATCTTTGGTCATTGGCCATGCTAGCTGGGGCTGATGGGAGTTGGAGACCACCACCAACAGGGGAAGGGGGGGTGCTACAGGTTCCCCACAGTTGCTGTCCACAGACACATCTAGAATTGTACATCTGCTGACCACTGCTGCATCAGGCCAAGGCCCTAAGGCAGAATTGAATGGTCCCATTATCCATTCCACTCCCCCTCCTTCCTGAGTCGAAGCAGTCAAAGATGATCGAATTGTGGAGTCGCAAGGGACCCTGATGCTCATTTCATCCAACCGCCTGCAGTGCAGGGAATTGAACCTGCAAACTTGGGTGTTATCAGCACTACGCTCTAACCAATGGAGCTATCCAGGCCAAAAGGCAGTTACTTCTGAATACAGGGGATGCTCCCACTGCTGGCATTATCATATGCTTTCCAGAGGCATTTGGGTGGCTGCTCTTAGAAACAAGATACTGGGTGAGATGGAGGCAAGTAATTTGCTTGAGACCAAGGCAAAGGAGAGATGGCAGCCCTAATAATTTTCCCTTCCCAAAAGCATCATTCGTTTAATTTGCTGAGACACACTTCAAATTGCTCCTTCCTCTCCAATGGTAGCCAAGCGGCCCTGGAGCTGTTGGGTCGCTATAGACGGGGGTAATTTTCTCTGATTTTCCTCTCCATCCTCCTCCCTCGTGAAGAAATTTTGTGGGACTCTTGGCACACCTTGCTCTGGTGACCAGCTTCCCATGTTGTGACCACCCCCCCCCCAGTGGCAGAGAGTTCCATAAGTTGATTGTGTATTATGTGGGGGAAAATATAAGATTTACAGAACTGGTATATGGCAACGCCGCCTGAATGATGGGAGTCTTGACAATGTCAGGAGGACCACGGGTTCCACATCCCTGCTCTAGCCCGCCTACGTGACAGAAAAGATTGTAGTAGGTTCCAAGATGTAACCATTTTTATTATTAGCAAGGGGCAAAGCACAAACCCCTAAACAGGAGGGTCAGTCACCCGGGTAACCCAGGGACGACACAGAAGGACGAGTGGAAGGGGAGGCTTTTCGACCCAGTGCGGCACTAGTTCTCGGTGCAAGGACCGGGTGGTGGCAGTTCTGTGCGTTGCTGTCCTCGACTTCATTTCTTCTTGCCAAAGCGCTGCGGAACAGCCATGCTCAGAAACTGAGGAGCCACGGCGTCCCAAGCCCGTGGCTTGATTAGGCCACCGCTGCTGGAGCTGGCCCGGGCCTCACGGCCAAATCTGCAGAAATAATAATAATAATTTATTATTTATACCCCGTCCATCTGGCTGGGTTTCTCCAGCCACTCTGGGCGGCTACCAACAAAATATTAAAATACAGTGGTCTGTTAAACATTAAAAGCTTCCCTAAACAGGACTGCCTTCAGATGTGTTCTAAAAGTCTGGTAGTTCTCTTTGACATCTGGTGGGAGGGCTTCCCACAGGGCGGGTGCCACTACCAAGAAGGCCCTCTGCCTGGTTCCCTGTAGCTTGGCTTCTCGCAGTGAGGGAACTGCCAGAAGGCCCTTGGAGCTGGACCTCAGTGTCCGGGCAGAACGATGGGGGTGGAGACAGAGATGGAAAGCAGCACAAAGCAGGTTGCCTGGGGAACATTTTTGGCACTCAAAAACACAGCACTTGTAGCTCCCTGGCCTCTTTGTCCTGCAGGTCATCACTTCTGTCAGACGGATGGTGAGAAGGAAGCAGAGCTGTGCAGATAGGTGTCTCGGAATAGTGCTTTGCTTTCCCCCGCTGTCCCTGTCCCCAGGAGAACAGAATTGCATCATCCAGAACTACTGAAACGAACCAGAGTCCCCTTATTGTTGCTGCAGGAATTGATGGGTGGGGATTTGAACACAAGACAAGGGAACGATTGATAAACGGTTCAGTTTTTAGGGGCATTGCAAGCACAGCTTTTGCAATGGGTGTTCCGAGCAGTTGCAGAAAAAAGGTCGTAGGGATGAAGGCTCTAAGAAAGACCCGCGAAACTGACAGGTGGGAATGGTCATTTAGATAGCAAGGATGCTGTGTTTGTCTTTTAAAAATTGACTCTTAAATGGGGGAGCCTATGCCTGATCTGGGGACGCGGGTGGCTCTGTGGGTTAAACCACAGAGCCTAGGACTTACCGATCAGAAGGTCGGCAGTTCGAATCCCCGGTCCCTGCTCCTGCCAACCTAGCAGTTTGAAAGCACGTCAAAGTGCAAGTAGATAAATTGGTACTGCTCTGGTGGGAAGGTAAATGGCGTTTCCGTGCGCTGCTCTGGTTCGCCAGAAGCGGCTTAGTCATGCTGGCCACATGACCCGGAAGCTGTATGCCGGCTCCCTCGGCCAATAAAGTGAGATGAGCACCACAACTCCCGAGTCGGTCACGACTGGACCTAATGGTCAGGGGTCCCTTTACCTTCACCTTTTTATGCCTGATCTGTGGGAATTGTGAGGCCTTGGAGAAGCTAGAATGCCTTCAAATACTATTCGGATGGAAAATACTCAAACCATTGTCAGGAGACGACTTGAGGAGTTTGGATTTGATATCCCGCTTTATCACTACCCGAAGAAGTCTCAAAGCAGCTAACATTCTCCTTTCCCTTCCTCCCCCACAAGAAACACTCTGTGAGGTGAGTGGGGCTGAGAGACTTCAGAGAAGTGTGACTGGCCCAAGGTCACCCAGTAGCTGCATGTGGAGGAGCGGGGAAGCGAACCCAGTTCACCAGATTACGAGTTTACCACTCTTAACCACTACAGCACACTGGCTCTGGGTCTCCCATCCCAGTCCATGGCCAAAATGAAACAACAGGTGTAATTCCAAGAACTGGAAGATTAGCACAAATGGAGCTTTAAAAAGGAAGGGGGAAATTAAATAAACCGCCCCCTCCATTCACTTGTGCTCCCCCTAGTGTAGCCAGAATACGTGCTTCTGCCTGGCTGCATTGACCCCCACACTCCTTACCTTTGGGGCTGGAACAGGAAGGAGGGGCTGCGACCAGGTCTCTGCACAGCATGAAGGAGGGAGCGGAGAAGGACACCCAGGGGATGCTCCTCAGAGGGGATCTGGACAGGGTGGTCCTCATTTTCTTGCAGCTGGGTGGACAAATAAAAAGCCGGGGTCATTTGAGAAATTCAACAAGGGACGAGTTCCCTGCAAGACCAGGAAGTAGCTTGAGGACCAGGGAAAACAGCATAGGCATCGCATTATTCATAGAATCAAAGAATCACAGAATTGAAGAGGTGGAAGGGTCTATGGGGGTCATTTAGTCCAGGGTCGGATTTAGGTTTGATGAGACCCTTAAGCTACTGGAGGTAATGGGGCCCTTTATATGTCCAGCTGCCGTTTGTCAACAACGAATTGTCACTGTTTTTTTGTGTTGAATATATACTATATGGTAACTTATGGACCTAATAGGTATCTAAAGCCATTTGCACATAGCAAAATATGTATTTTATCAAAGTAATTGTTGAACTGAAATACAATTAAATTTTCTGGGGGCCCCCAAGAGAGTGGGGCCCTAAGCTATAGCTTGTTTAGCTTATACGTAAATCCAGCACTGATTTAGTGCAACTCCCTGCAATGTGGAAACCCTTTTGTTCAATGTGGGATTTGAACCCACAACCTTGAGATTACGAGTCTCATGCTGTACAGACTGAGCTGGCTGGTTCCTCACAGTTGCATAATGATGGTAAATATTGAACAGCAGTCAGCTCTATCAGCAGTCAGAATTCTAAGGAAAAACCATCTTCCGCAGAAACTGCTGCTTGCCTTCTATCACTGTGCCATTGAGAGCGTGCTCACTTATGGCTTATGTGTGTGGTACGGAAGCTGTACTACCCAGGACAGGATGGGGTTGTGCAGAGTTGTTAAGGCAGCAGAAAGCATTGTTGGCTGCCCACTCTCCACCTTAGAGCAGATTTATGCCACAAGGTGCCATAGGAAGGCACTGGACATAGTAAAAGATCCATCGCATCCTGGTCACTGTCTCTTCGAGCTTCTGCTGTCGGGACGGAGATACAGGACGATGAAGACAAGAACGAGCCGTCTTAAGAACAGCTTCTTCTCCAGAGCGATCTCGGCCCTGAATGGGAAGCCTGGACTTTGAAAGTCATCTAATCTTCCTTGCTGTGCTGTACTATACTGTATTGTTTTAATTAGTGTTTTTATGGAGCAGTCAAGTAATTTCGTTGTCCCCGAGAGGGGGCAATGACAATAAAGATATTATTATTATTATTATTATTATTATTATTATTATTATTATTATGTCAAGCCAATTATATTTCTTGCAATTTCACACACACACACACACACACACACACACACACACACACTTTGTACACCAAAAACAGCTGAATTTCTGGGGATTGCCTTACACAAATTGTGAATATTGGCAAAATCCAACAGAGTCTTGTGACACCTTTATTATGACATAAGCTCCATCTGGTGGAATGGTCTCTAGTCCACTAAAGCTTATGCCATTTGTCTAGGTTGTCTCCAACAAGTTTCACTTAGAGTAGACGCACTGAAATAAATGGACCCAAGTTAGTCACGTTTATTAATTTCAGTACATCGACTCTGAATAGCACTGGATACAACTCTTTATCTTTAAAGGTGCCAGGAAGATGCATTGTTGGTTTCACTTCAACACAGGCTTAACATGCTCTGAAAATTGTGTGAATATCTGTGCATATTTGCTTCTTACACATAATTTCATTTTCTCTGCATGGGAAGAGTAAGCAGCTATACTTGCTTTTAAAAAGGAAAGGAAAGGGAGATTCTGAAGATTCTTGTGCCTTGCGTATGCTAGAGCTATGTTGTTGTCACAGGGTATATACCCAGCCCTAAATAAAACCCAGGAGGAGCTCGGGTTAACATCTTAATAATGCAAAGCACTTTGCATACCTTCACAGGAATCTTTTACAACAGCACTGCATGGTAG